TCAGATGGGAGGGAGTGAAAAGAAATAGAAATTTAACAGCCAGCCAGCCCGAAATAAAACAGGCAAGATTAGGAGACACATGTACAATTCTCCACGGTCCCTAAAGTCTCTAGCGAAAAGGTAGAAATGAACTAATTTATTAGTAAAATCACATCAGGGGCAGTAATTTCATGTTAGTGAATTTACATGTAATAACATTAGGCTCCCAACCTCCATTTCACCAGTGTGGCCCTCTCCGATGATGAATGAGGCGCCTAAAGAAAGATGATAGTTTGATTGTTTTCACGGCAAACAGATCAGCATTTTAATTTCTTGCCTCTGTGTTTATTGCTTATTTGGCCCCTTGCTCGGCTTGTAAAAACTTGGCTAAATGGAAATGAATAAATGTAATTACTGCGGGTGACAGTGGTAATCTGTGTGGGTTTTTCATATTGGCTTTGCCAGCGTTAATCTAATCACTGGAGAATACATGTCACCGCACAAATGCACTGACAGAAAGCAGAGTTTTCAGTCAGTGCCAAATGTACACAGGCCGGGAAGCACAGACACAGACGGCTGCTTCTGCACCCACGGCTTGCCTCTCCTCTGCTGCAGGAGCAGAAGCCAGCGTATCCTGGAAGGTGAATGTGTGTATATGAGATGGTTCATAGTTTGCGGGAACCCAAAGAAGGCTCACAGATGACCCTGAATCCAATAGAAATAACAACCAATGGCCTGGACGCAGTGGCTTAGCCTGTAATCCCAGCACTTTGGGAGGCCTACGGCAGGTGGATCACCTGAGGTCAGGAGTTCAAGACCAGCCTGACCAACATGGAGAAACCCAATCTCTATTAAAAATACAAAAAAGTTAGCTGGGCCTGATGGTGGGTGCTTACGGTCTCAGCTACTCAGGAGGCTGAGACAGGAAAATCACCTGAACCTTGGAGGTGGAGGTGCAATGAGCCGAGGTCGCACCCCTGCCCTCCAGCCTGGGTGACAGAGCAAGACTCCTTCAGGAAAAAAAAAAAAAAAAAGCGCAAAAGAAAGAAATGGCAACCAATGTTTTCCCCAGTGCAGGAATGAGTCCCAGGGCATAGGAAAGTAGAGACTGAAATTTTCCTTTTCTCCCCAGTAGTAAATGGCTGGGAGGGCTGGTTAATGAGTGGCTTCACCTTTCAGGGTTTTGTTTGCCATCTATAAGACAGGGATGGAACAAATCAGATTGTTTGATGTTTGCATTGCAGAAGTAGCAGCAGGGGGTGAACCAGGCAATCATTGCAGGGTAGGAAGGATGAAATGAGATAATGTATGTTAAAGTGTCTTGCAAACTACAAAGCAAAGCTAAATGAAGCAGAAGAGAGTCCTCCAAAATAGACTATTATATTTAAGATTTATTTTAACAAAGCAGCAGGGAAGCAAAGGATTATTCAGTAAATGGCAATTGAATAGCTGGTTACTATTTTGGAAAGAAAAATAAATCAAGACCTGTAACTTAGAATATTGGTCAAAAGGAATTCCAGATGGATGAAATGATTAAATATGACAATAAAATGTTAGAAAACCAGATGAGGAATTTGATATGCACTAGATTTGGGGGATTTGAGAGAGGGCTCCCTACACTGAAAAACAGTAAAAAAAAAAAAAAAAAAAAAAAAAAAAAAAGGAATATACAATTTTGATGACATTAAGTTAGAAACTTCTGCAATCAAAATAAGGTAGCCCAAATGGGAAAACAAATAATATTTTCAACAAATAAGGCAAGGGCAAATAACTATGTTAAATAAAATGTTCCCAAATACTTATTTTTAAAATGACACCATTAATAACTGATAGAAATAATACAGATGAATAATGAATAAGTGTCCAAAGAGAAATACTACTAGTAAATTAAGGAGGAAACATGTTCAAACTTGATAAGAATCAAAGAAAAGCAAATTTGAACAAATTAGCAAAAATAGATAATGCCTGATATTTTCAAAGCTGTGAACAGACTAGACATTTCTAAACTTCTAATTGCAGTTAAAGTCAGCGTAAACTTTTTGAAAACCAATAAACATAAAAGTTCTCTAGTTTTGACCTAGTAATTCTACTTCTAGAAATACAAGTTAAAGAATATTTTTAGAGAGTGAAAGGATTATATTTCTAAAAGTGTATGCAGTAGTGAAATATAAGAAATAAACTGCAAGGCTGGGAATGGTGGCTCATGCTTGTAATCCCAGCACTTTGGGAGGCCTGCTGTGTGGATCACCTGAGGTCAGGAGTTTGAGACCAGCCTGGCCAACATCGTGAAACTCTAACTCTACTACAAATACAAATATTAGCCTTGCCTGGTAGCATGTGCCTGCAATCCCAGCTACTTGGGATGCTGAGGCAGTAGAATTGCTTGAACCCGGGAGGCAGAGGTTGTTGTGAGCCGAGATCTTCCCACTGCACTCAAGCCTGGGTGACAAAGCAAGACTTTGTCAGAAAGGAAGAAAGAAAAGAAAAGAAACAAAGAGTCCGGGCGCGGTGGCTCAAGCCTGTAATCCCAGAACTTTGGGAGGCCGAGGCGGGTGGATCATGAGGTCAAGAGATCAAAACCATCCTGGTCAACATGGTGAAACCCCGTCTCTACTAAAAATACAAAAAATTAGCTGGGCATGGTGGCGTGTGCCTGTAATCCCAGCTACTCAGGAGGCTGAGGCAGGAGAATTGCCTGAACCCAGAAGGCAGAGATTGCGGTGAGCCAAGATCACGCCATTGCACTCCAGCCTGGGTGACAAGAACAAAACTCCGTCTCAAAAAAAAAAAAAAAAAAAAAAAAAAAAAAAAAAAAAAGAGAGAGAGAGAGAGAGAGAGAGAGAAAAAGAAAGAGAGAAAGAAAACCTGCAGATATTGCTCAACATTTAAGTAATTAACCAAATACTCTTCCTACATACGTAAAACATTATAAAGACTAAAAATGTGGAAAGTATTTGGTAGGCTACTAAGCAAGAAAAAAATGTGGTTTCCTAGAAGCCTCCATTGACTTTTTAAATCTCACGTGCCAGTATTGGATCATATGTTTATCTCTAATGCAATCATTAGGAAGAATAATGAAATGACTATGATTGACTTTGAACAACCATTTTGGAGAATAAATAATGGGTGATACTGAAAAGCATAAAAGAATGAGGACCATCACATGATGTTCTTAGGGACAGAACAAGTACTCAACATGTAAGAGATGGATGTGGTATATAAGACAATAGAAATTATGTGTAATTAGAAAATTGGGGGATTAAAGGAATGACTGGTTGCTTCAGTAAGATGTAAAAAATCATTCTCTCCAATCTCTAAGGAAAAGAAACAGGGAGGGAGGGAGGGAAGGAAGGAAGGGAGGGAGGGAGGGAGGGAGGGAGGGAAGGGAAGGGGGGGAAAGGAAAGGAAGGAAAGGAAGGGAAGTAAGGGAAGATGGGAGGAAGGGAAAGGAAGGGAAAGGAAGGGAAGTAAGGGAAGATGGGAGGAAGGGAAAGGAAGGGAAAGGAAGGGAGAAGAAGAAAAAAAAACAGGAGATGAAGAAAGGAAGGAGTGAAAACAAGGAAAGAGAAAACATTACTTCCATGTATTATCAATCTTAGAAAAAGAAGCCATGGTATCCAACCCCCTCTACATAAAACAAAGACTGTCATCTTCATTTTTTTTAATTTACAGATGGTATCAGGAATAAAAGGCCTCAGATAATCTTCTAGGAAGATAGTTGAAAGGCTTAGAACTTTCCTGTGAAGCCTAAAAAGCAAGCAAGCAAGAAAGAAAAAGTGAAGCACTCTCCAAAAAATACAATACAAGGTCCAATCTGATCCAAAGTACAGTAGGTAGACCTCTACTCTTTTAAGGTGCAGTGTACGAGCTAAGCCATGATGAGAGACAGAAAAAACTGGGAAGGTGTAGCAGTCAACCAGAAGTCTCAACGAAGAGCACCTCTCCTCAAGAGAGCTGAACTTGAAAGAAAGAAAAGAAAGAAAAAAAAAGCTCAGGGAAGATCAGTTCAAACCAGCCAACCTTTCTAGAGATGGAGCATCAGAGATCTGGGTAGACATTGGAAAATGCCTCTTGTTGGCAATTTATTTGCAGATGATAATCCATTTTTATATTCCTCCATGAGCCCACATTTCTGGAGTGCTTTGTGATGAGGTTTAGATAGGAAAGCAACACATGTGTGGTAATCACTGGAAGGAAGAGTCTAGGTCTGTGAACAGGCATGCTTCTCTGCAGGCTCCACTGAGGCTGTGCGGCCATCTTTCCTAGGAGAGTTGATAGCTACTTTTCATTGATTATCTACACAGATTCTTTTCAGAGCAAGGAAATATATCAATTAAACCTTCCAGGAATCGGATTTCCTGGTTCTTTAAGTCAGTGATGTGAATTATCACCCTGTCTCGGCATCACAGAGATGGATTTCCTCCACTGATACCCAGGAAGCTGTGACCAGGGATCCCAGGGAGAGAATCAGTTCACCCACTGGCCACCCAACTTTACTGCCAGTGATGACAGGAAATAAAGGGGTTTGACTGCTACCAGTTTTGAATGTAAAAATTAAAGTACAAACTCAGTACTCTCACTTGACAAAAAAATAAAGATGGGGAGAAGTTTCTTTTATGTTTCAGGAAATTATTACATTTTGGTGAAATGCTTAGAGGTATAATATGAGCTGGATAATTTTCACAGCATTTGATGTAGCAAATGTTGTGGGGCTTTTCCATGACACGTATTCAGTATTAAGCCAACATTTATAAAATAAAAAATGAAACCAAGTTTTTCACCAGGAAAATTGGTTTCCGTTCAACAAGATGTCCTACGGCATCCTTATAATTTTTAGGTTTCAGTTCTCAGTAGTCCCTTTAACCATAAGGGATGACAGTTAAAATAAAGAATCCTTGGTGTCCCCTCATAGGAAGTGTACCAAAATATTAGGTGAGTATCTGGCCCCAAGTAAATTAATATTTAATGATAACCATTGGTTTGGTACTTCTTCTGCCCTTTTTTGATTATAAAAAACAGCAGTGCTCACTTCGACAGCACATAGTATACTAAAACTGGAACGATACAGAGATTACCATGGCCCCTGCACAAGAATGATAAGCAAATTTGTGAAGCGTTCCATATTTAAAACAAATAAACATTGCTGTCATATTTTAGGTGAACCCTCTTCCTAATATTGTATTTAGTATAAAATTGATTGTAACAAGTCTGAGAACACCATAAATTAATGCTATTGGTACTATATAAACTTAAGGCATTGTATGAACTAAATAGGTTAAGATACAATCCCTACCCTTTAATAGCATATAACTGAACAAGGGAACTAAAACATATGCACTTATAAAACATCATATATTTATATATGATTATGTTGATGCTTGTCAAAAGCTAGTCTTCTACCCATAATTCCTATCAAATACAGTTAGTAGCCTTGTTGAAATGCATGTGCCTAGGCCCCCTCTCAGATTGATTAAATAAAGCATTCAGGAGAATGGGGCCTAGGAAGTTGCATTTTGCAGCCACTCCAAAGCTTGGAAATTTTTGAAGGATATAAATCTACCAGAAAGTATTAAGGACTGGAAGTTCTCCAAGGAATTAGTGGCAGAAGGAGATCACAGTTCATTGAGGTAATCAGGAAAAGGGACTGATTATGAGAGATGTGAACTTGGTTTTGAATAGCAATCCATATTTTGGCAGTAGTAAGAACACAATATACATATTTAATAATCCATATTTTGGATTATTAAATCCATATTTAGTAATCCATATTTTAGCAGTGGTAAGAACACAAGATCAAAAAGTAACATTGAAAATATGTTGATGGAAAGAAAGCCAATGGTTTTGGCTAACATTGAGAAGTGCTTGCAGAAGAAACTAGAAAGATCATTTTAAAAGATTCTTGAATGCCTAATCGCCATCCCTAGAATCGCTCTAAGCTTCAAAACAATAGGTAGGTAAAGATTTAGTTATAAGTAATACAATTATACTAATAAAGTATGGATATAGATATATAGATATATAGATATATATATTGCACTTTAGGTTCTGGGATACATGTGCAGAACATGCAGGACTGTTGCATAGGTACATACATAGCAATGTGGTTTGCTGCCTCCATCCCCATCACCTATATCTGGCATTTCTCCCCATGTTATCCCTCCCCAACTCCCTACCCCTCACTGTCCTTCCTCTAGTCCCCCCGACAACAGACCCCAGTGTGTGATGCTCCCCTCCCTGTGTCCACATGTTCTCATTGTTCAACACCTGCCTATAAGTGAGAGCATGCAGTGTTTAATTTTCTGTTCTTGTGTCAGTTTGCTGAGAATGATGGTTTCCAGAAAGATTGCAAATGTTTCTGAGTTGGTGGGATACAGATAACCTTAACAGAGCACCCACTATACTAAAAATATCCATGTGTGTGTGTGTGTGTGTGTGTGTGTGTGTGTGTGTATGTAATGTTGAAATCTCTCAAAATTACCTTTCCTAAGTACTGTGCCAGCCCCAAAGAAACCAGGAGTTTTGTAAGAATTACAAAAATTAATTTTCCTGCTCCCATAACTGCCATGGTGGCCAATAGATTCTCTGCTTTCTATTGCAATTCAAAGAAGTTGATGTGTGTTCTGAGTCCTCACTCAGATGCATTTATTCTCTTTCATGAGAGGGGAAAGGGAGCACCCAAAGTTCATTCTTTGTTTCTTCTTTTTTCAAACTGACAAGTAATTGTACATATTTATGGGAAACGTGATATTTTGATGCATTCATACACTGTGTGATGACCAAATCCGGATATTTAGAAAATCCATCACCTCAAACATTTATCGTTTCTTTGTGTCACGCAAATCTATTCTAATCCCGAAAGTTAAAACTCTCATCCCACTGGTTGCTGAGTAAGGGAAACAAGCTGAAAAGTTAACTGTTGGAAAATCTGGCACAGTGTATCTATTTTCTACTTGGTATTTGTATTAATAGGTGAGTTCCTACCACCGTCTTTTTCTGTGAAGGTGAAACCTGATGTGAACCGCATCTCCATTCCTTCCAGTGCCCTGCTGGTGGCAGCAGGAGAGCGAGTACAGGTAATTCACAATTAGGTGTCGGGCAGAGGAAGGCTGTCAGATCCGGGGGAAAAGCATACCATGCTGTTTAAAAGATCTGGTCCCTGATTGGGAATGCCTCACTGTTTCTTTGAAGACTTTCACCTCAAGGTGAAAGCCAAGATCTAAGTAATAAAAGAGGAAAGGAAAAAGAAGGAAACTGAAAGAACAGAACAGAATGCAGTATTTGAACTTGGAGAATGCTGTAAGTTCTAAATTAGTAGGACCATAATTAAAAATAGATTTTGCATAGGAAAGTTCTGGTAAGATCAAGGATCCAAGAGAAAAAATCTATGTGGGTATCTGGGGCTTAACTTACATGTATGAAAATGTTTTTATCCAACTTTTTTCTTGTATCAACATGAAGCATAAAAGCCCAGAAGAACTCAGAGGGACATGGTACAAAACAAGAGGCCCAAACTGAAGTTTAAAGAAAGTGGTAAAATGAGTAAAGAATGAAATATGGGTAGAAACTGAAGAGTACCAAAGAAGATGGAATTGCTAAGAATGAGAATGCAATAAAAAGGAGAAGGGTGGGGTGGGGGTAGTCAAGAAATTTTAGTTAATAACAAAACACACCTGAAGAAAATTTAAAACTCCACAAATAACAGATTCTGAGTTTTTCTCTGTCTCCTGTGATGATTATGCCATTTTTGCTGCACCGGAATGGGTGAACATCATCATAGCAAGATCTTTTTCTTCTGCAGCTCCCACTGCACATCCAGTTTCATTTCCTACTGATCTTTCTTCTGCTTCCTTTTAGGACTTGAGATATATTTTGCAAAACTTCTGAACACAATTCTCATCCACAGAACCAGAATTGCTGGGAGCAACTACTTTTCCAGGAAAAGTTCTGCATTGCTGTTATTTTTCAGACATATCAGCTCTAGAGAGTGTGCACCATTATACTTTTTATTGAAACACGTTGCCCACACATAGGAGGCATGTTCAGAATAACCCTGTGCCTAACCTTGACCTGTACTTCTTTCTGCTATTTTGTTCACCTGCATATTCAAAGTAAACTTGAGTCTGCCTTTTCACTTAAGAAATACTGCCTTTCACAACACAATAGGATAAAAACCGAACAAAAAACAACCAAAAACTTCTTGAGCTTGCTCCCAATTTCTCTATGTGATATAGTTAGATGAGAGATGCTGAGGTGATAGCGATTAATATATCCTGCTTCATTATTATATTGATACTGGATTATTATATAATGCACACATTATTATGCAAGTAAAGTAAAATTATTATTAAAACTAATTGCTTTTCAGTCTTACTGTAAGTCAGGCAGTATTCTAGGAGCTTTTCATTTATTAGCATATTTAGTCAAAATAAAACTAGGAGGTAGATGTGATAATTAGTCTTATTTTACAGAAGTGAAAACTGGCTTATAAAAAAAATTAAGTTTGCCCAAGATTACTCAGCTAGGAAGAGGTGGAGCAATAATCCTAACCCAAGTTTTACAGTCTCAAACCCTAGTAACTTTACTTAAAAAATAAGTGGGACATATATAGATTTATACAACCCAAACACGTAAGCAACACATACATAGAACTTTGATTTGTGTACAATGAGCATCCTTTGTTCAGCCAAGTAAAAAGGTTATAGAAAACAAACCCCACAGACATCAGAGATTTAATTTCAGTTTGGAAGCACCGAGTACAAATGGAGCGACAATAGGACAAAAACAGTCACAAAAAGTGTTAAGGACCACATTATTCTCAGCAGCTTTGGTCTGAATGGGTGCCCTGAGTGCTTGTCATGTAAGTAAACACTAGAAAGAAGAAAACACTCAAGAAATGTCATGAGTATGGGGGAAGGAAGTCCACTGATATACGGGGTGTGAGTTTACAGAGGACTCTCCTTCCTGAAATGCCAAGGAAAGCTTCATTGGAAAGGTTGGCTATGGGATTCCAGGATACCAGAGCTGAGATAAGGGTATCTTTTGAGACCTTCTGTTCATTAGAGCCAATCGCTTCTTGCCCACCCCTATGGCCCATCTATTGATTACTTCGTTTTCATGTATCAGAGGGTACCAAAATTGACCCTGAGAATAAACTCCAGTTGGTATTCTGTGTCTATTGGCAATTGTCTCAAGTCTTCCTCCCTAAGGTTCCAATTACAGAAGACAGTGTTAACTTTTCATAGGCTACAATTTAACATCTGCTCCTGCCAGGTTTATTTCATCTGGCCTGGGAGAAATAACGTAAGTAACACTTCCCCTCTCCCCTGCTCTGCCTGATGAAATGGGATATAAAACACAGAATGGTGGCAAGGAAGAAAACATATTGAAGTTCCTTTACCTTTGCTGGATTAAGCATTCAGAGATCAAAGACAGTATTAATAGAACCTTAATTAGGTGATAGAGAAAAAAATATTGATGCACTTTTTCTTCCTTTGATGGGGTACAGAATATGTGTTATGTGTCATTATGTATCTATCATCAGTCTCATTGTTTACGACTGGATTACAAAGGCTGCATGAATAAGGCTTGAAACAAAAAATAAAAATAGTAACTAGAAATAATAGCTGCAACTAAATATGGTGTAAAAAAGCAATAACTATAGGATCTTTCACTAATCCTTGCTCCCATTTCTAATAAATTTAATGGGAAGTTGTAATATGTATCCTTTAGCAATACATAGTAGCAGCCCCATGGATGTGAGACAGAGGTGCATAGAAGGGACTCTTGCTGATTTTGCTGTCTAGACTAGGGCTTACATTGATTAGTTTTTATAAAAATAATGAAAGAAGACCTGGCCAGTAAAAACAGAATTAGCTAAAGGAAGGCTTGGTACCCAAATGCAAGTTAAATGCCTGCAACTCCAGGAAGAGAATGGATTATTGGTTATTTGATTTTTGTTGTTGTTGTTGCCTGTCCATAAGTAACAGAAAATAGTTGACCATATCCTGTGACTTCAAACTATCAAAGTTTTCCCCCAAAACAGTTTGTTTCTCAAACTGTACTTGTTGAGACAACAAAGAGATTCCTAGGCTGTTTCCCTTAGTTAGAGGGATGAAAAATAAAAGTGGA